AGTACTCACCCACAATGTGGGGTTCGAACCCAGGATCTTCTAGTAACAAGGCGAGCTCGTAGACCATTGAGCCACTGGGACCCGATCCATTGGCCAGCCAATGAATTCTAACTTCTTCCAGTTGGATCGAGTCCCAGTGGCTTAATGGTCTACTTACTCGCTAGCCTTGTGACCAGAAGGTTGTGGGTTCGGATCCCGGTGGGTGTGCACTGATAAATAGTTCCAAACTAGGACGAAACAGCTGTCCTGTAGTCCCAGCTGGTTTTCCAATGGTTCTCTGACCGATGATGTCAGCTCATAATGAAATCCTCCATCCAAACAAACGGTAATGACGTCAATTTCAATAAATAGTAGTGAGAATAAAATGAGTAGTCTACAATGATGGGAACCTGTCTGAATCAATGGATGGGTGTTTTTTGAATTTTCATCCAGTATTATACATCAAAATTTTCTCCATTTCTTAACCATTCAGTAATGTTCTTAGGTGGCAAAAATGTGTACTCATGGACATTTTTATTTGGCTTTGAAACTACCGGAGTGTTCATTTTTCGGAGATGAAGGAAAAATATTACAAGGGATTAGTTTAGGTTTCAGACCGTCACTTGAAGTATTACGGATTATTATTTTACTTGAAGATCTTAGACAAAGAGAAAACAGTATACAATGAATTAATGCGGTCTAAAATGGAAAAAGAATGTGTCAATAGTGGTAAAAGTAGGAAAGTACTGCTTAAATAAATATTGGTTTAAAAGGGAAATAAGTAATGGAGAAATGTTGCTTCATTATATTATTAATATTATTCCCAGCAGACCAGTGCAAACTTTTATCAACAGCTGCCTTCGCTCCATACTCAAGACCAAATCGCCAGGAAGAATTAGCGACAAGAAACTCTGGTTGGGGACAAACCAGCCAACAGGCGACAGACGATCACCCAGCAAATATGTATAAGAAAATGGAGATAGATGGATCGGGCATACGTCAATGAGGACGCTGTCAAATGACATCGCGCCATCCCTCGAGTGGAATCCAAGCGGAAAGCGACTGATCAGTTTTCAGTGAGAGGTTTACATGGAGGAGATCGTGTGTTTTGGAGGAGGAGATGAGAGATTATGGGGAATCGTGTGGCGAGCTGAAAAGGACAGTGTCAAGTAGGAGAAAGTGTAGATGTGTTGCTGAAGCTGTATGTTCCAGTCGGAACCTAAGGGAATAATAAGGATAAATAACTACGAGAAAAATAATTGATTGATTGATTATGAAACAAGTATTTCACAATGAAGCAATCAGAATAATAAAATAATTAGGAAAGTAATAGTCTGTAGAAGCCATAGGGGGAGAGAAAGTTATCAATTTTTCATTAGGATCTAAATGGAAAGTAAATATTTCCTCCCTCGATGACTTTGTCTCTTAGCGACAGTTATCAATATGAGATTCTGATAGAAGTATAAAGTATGGGGATTGCTTCTTGAGGCACTTTGCTGATTCATATTACTGTAGTGACGTATGACTGTTATAATACGGGAATTATACCTTTTCACATTCTTACTATTAATAGCAAAATTACATTGTTGTGCAATGGAATCAAGAAACCGATCACTGAGTCCCGCTGTATAGCTAATCAGAAATGCATTCAAATACAAACAGTTAAAGAATACTCCAGAGATACCGTAAACACGATTGTTTGGGTTAGATCTATGTGGTTCTATTCAACAATAATAACATCAAGGACGTAAAATTACCTCATCAATGCAGTCAGTCACCTATTCAGTAAAGAGAAGGTTCGAAGTACAAAACGTTTACGGTAGAAGACAATTATTTACACAAAACTCAACCGTAGGTAACACCTCAGAATCACATGAAATATTCCCAATTAGTTGCGTTCAAAACTCCCTCCACAAGAATAGCACACATCAACAATTAACCCCCATCCCCATCCCACAGACAGTCCAACTTCAGAATGACCTGGATTCACTCAAACCAAATCACATCATAAAACAACACACTGCCGGTGTATTGCACAACGATCAAGAGAAACACTGAGATTAAAGATTAAACAGGAACAAAGACGAATATTATGGATGAAGTCAGTATATCATATATGAATATCAGAACAATTATACACAGTCTGGGAGAAAAATAGAAAATAAGTACAAAGTTAGTTGGAATGCCTAAAGAAGCATCAATATATCCTAGGCGGATCATTCAGGAGAAATTTTTCAAACAATTATTCCGTTACAAATAAGAGAAAACTAAGTTATTAGGAAATCTATTAAGACATACATATGATTTATTTTGACTTGACCTTAAGGTTAGGGGCTGTGTTGTGGGAAATGTTGAAAAATGTACTTTTTCGAATACACACTTTTTAAAAATCTCTTATTAACTCTGCTTGTTTTATGGAAATTTCACATTAGAACTTAGAGAAGAAAGCTAATTCAGTGAATAGACGTTTTCCTGTGACGTTATTTAATAAAATCGGATGATCTCCTTGATGAACAGTCCCAAACAAGGATGAAACAATTTCCCATTACCCCCTGGTTTTCAATGGTTCTCCAAGTGAAATCAATTCGTGATTATACTTGAGATTCTAAAACAGCCTTAAAATCCCCCAATAAGAGTTTGTCTTTTCAACGGTATCACTCTCACATTGTAAAGTTGCATATGTAGGATAAATTATCGTAGCAACAAAAAGAATGTTCCTAAGGATGTCTCATTGTAAATTCTGAGTTTCAGATAACAGTCGAGGCATTCTAAATCATGTCATACAGATATGCTGACCAGCTATAGACCACAGTAGAAATAAGTAAGCAAATTGAGTGACACAACATAATTGACTGCATGAAGCACAGTTTAACTAAAATTATAGTAAGGTTAAGTCAAGATTGTCCGTCAGTGGCACAGAGGTAGAGTGCTCACCGACCACGGATGTGGTCCGGGGTTCGACCGTCGGCCGACGCACTCCTTTACCTCGGTAAGCCAGTAATAAGACTGGTAAAGAGGAAAGGTTGGGCATGAGGCTAGCAACCCCATCCTTTAAAAATGAACAATGCTACAGGAACTTCAAGTTGAAGGCTTGAACGTAAGGAATAAAAAAAAAGTCAAGATTAGTACCATGTGGAACAGAAGTGCAATAATTGGGAGAAGAGAGTGAAAAATTTTAAAAATGACTCTGGAAATGTTTATACAAATCATGTCTATGGTAAGTTGAGTGACTGGATAAACTTCTTCAGCATACAGAGTTCCGGATTTGACACATATGGATTTCCATAGCCTCTTAACTTTGATAAAGTTTGATTCGTCAGCCTCTGCATGATTCCCGCGTACTCAATAGACAACTCTCAGGTTTATTTGAGAGTTCTAAAATAAAGGGGAAATATTCATTCAGGCATCGATAAAAACAAAATAATTTAGCAAAATATATCCTTTTCGAGAATTTCCTCTTCCGGCTCTACAATTATATATATATGTTTATATACATAGAATATTCTAGAATAGTAGTCAATAACAATATTAGTGTTTTTTTAAATAATATCGATTTGTTAAGTAAGATCAGTGGAATTACAGTTCATTAAAGATGCATAAATTATAATAAGCATACAAATATAATATCAGATAGAATATCAACTAAAATTAGGGAAATTTCCATAACAGATTGAGTATCATTAGAACCTAGATGGCCAAGGTAAGGATAATGTCTGGACTAGCTTCTTTTGGACACATAAGTTAGTCTTCTTAATATGAATCCCAACGGCCTCAGCAATATGTAGTAAACGAACTCTTAAGGCGAAGTTAAAATTTGTAGGTATGAGGTAGATGACTTAGAAAGCCTCCTCGTTAACATCAATCTTGTATTCTCTATCCACAAGATGTGATAGAATAGCGCTACGAATAGATTTTCTTTATCCTTTACTTAACCACTATGCAGGGTGATGTTCGGAAATTCGACAAGAAACACGCTTAATTGCACGGCCTATGTAACTTACTTCAGAGGAGCAGTCTCTCATCGGATTTCCGAACATCACCCTGTGTGGTTAAGTAAAGGACAAACAAAATCTATTCGTAGCGCTATTCTATCTCATCTTGTGGATACAGAACACAAGATTGATGTCAGTGAGGCTTTCACTGTCATTTACCGCATACCAACAAATCTTAACTTCGCCTAAAGAGTTCGTCTACTAAATATTGCTGAGGCCTCTGGGATCCACACTGAGAAGCCTAATTTGTGCGTCCAAAAGAAGCTAGTCCAGACATTGTCCTTACCTTGGCCATCTAGTTTCTAATGATCCTCAATTTGTTGTGGAAATTTCCTTAATCTTATTTGATATTCTATTTGCTATTATATTTGTATGCTTATTATAATTTATGTATCTTTATTGAACTGTAATTCCATTGATCGTACTTAACAAATCGATATTATTCAAAAAGCACTAATATTGTTATTGACTACTATTCTAGAATAATCTATGTATATAAACATATATACATATATATAATATAGAGCCAGAAGAGGAAATTCTCGTAAAGGATATTCTTTGCTCAATTATTTTGCTTTTTGTAGTTCCAAAATAACGTAGTGGTTTTGTCTTCATGTGTTGCACATAAAATAAAGTGTAACATATTGAAAATGACTTTCGCCAATCAGTAATACTAGCCATGCTTACCAAGCTGGTCTGAACGCTTGGTAGATACTTCACAAATTAAATTATGACCCATCAGCTATGAATTAGGATTAATTCATCTCATACAGCCTAATTGTTAGGGCAATCTTGAACCCGAGCATCAGCCCCAGGAAGAGTATCAGCTCAGGGGAGTGAAGTGTCACCGTCACTTGTTTTCATTCGCTAAAACTATTCACACTATATGACATGCTTTCTGGGTACCTAAAGATGAAATTTTGCCCACATATATATATATGGGTTTAAACTTTGTATTTTGCATTACTATTATTATTATTATCACTACTACTATGAGTATCATTCATGAACATATATTTTGCATTACAGAAACATGTCCTACTGATGAACATCTAAACGACTGGAAAAAGCGTCCATGTGATTATATCGTGCGAACAAGTTATGTAGCAAATAACACAACAAACTTATCCAATGAATCAGTCCAAGACGCTACTCCCAACACTCCAATAAGTACAAATGATACTAATACATCTAAAAAGTATAAAATATTTCCATCACTGAGTTTATTAAATCCAAAAGTGCCAAAATTATGCAAATCAGGAAAATTTCGAGTAAATCTTATCTTACGCTTACGTAGTATATGGTCACGTTCACGATCTCAATCGCATCGAAAAAAATCAAAACAAAATACAAACAATCAGCATCACCATCATCATCACAGTCATCACCATCACCAACACCAACACCACAACAGTCATCATTTGAATCATCAACATCCCTATCCTACTCACCAGCATTACAATAACAAACCATTTGACAAACAGAGTTCATGTGATTCCCTGAGATCAAAAAATACATCTCCGCATATTGACAACACTAACAACAATCCCCCTGCAAATGATACAAGAGTAGTTGAACTTAAGAAAGACAAATCTATACCACATGTAAAATTCAAAATTTCAGATAATTGTCAGACATTGGTATCAAGACATTGTCATTCCGACTATTGTTTACTACGATCGAATCATATCCGCAAATGTCCTCATATTTACTATGATTTCCCTTATGATCGCCATCATCATCATCATCAACATCAAAATCAGCCCGAATCGGACGTATTCAGTAGTGAACAAACCAGTATAAACAGAATATCCGACGACCTACATCATCTAAACTTTTGTTCATCCAATCATCGCTCCTTATCTACTGGGAATATATGTTGTCTTTATTCACTAAGATGTGTACCATCAGTTGAGTGTATAGCATCACCCATATCATCATCTTGTTTTCCAGGACTCCATCAACAGCACAAAGACGACTTCACAGAAAACAAAGACTCCAATACAATAATCACTTCAATTATGGTGAATAAAAGAAAGCCTACAAAGTTAATTTCACCATTTGAAAAACTGAAATACCATCCATGCTATCGAGATAATGACAAAAATCTAGGCAAATGGGTTCAACAAATGTTAGCACACAGTTCTGAGGACAGCTCGGAGGACAACACTGACAACACTAGTAATGATGAAGTTATGCATATTGGTAGTAGTACTGGTGGTAATAGTAGTAATAGTAGTAGTAATTTTCAGCCTAGAAGACATTCTGACACTTTAAAACATGTACACTTTGCTGATGAATCAACCTGTTCATCATCAATGACCACATTGAATTCTTTGTCAAGATCATCATCACTTTCCTCATTGAATTTTACGAATACTTTACTTTCACAACCGTGTTGTCCAGTTGTTTCTTGTCATTGTCATCATGTTGGAGATAAAACAATTCAGGATAAATGCTTATCAGGAACATCAATTTCCAAAGAGGTTTTATTTAATCGTAATCTTAAGCGTAAACGTGGAACAAAACGAAATCTAGCAAATTATGATAATGTCTTTGAAGAAAATCTCAGTAAACATAATGACATGCTGGATGAACGACAATTGACAAAGCATAATGATAGAGAAACACCTTTAGTAACAGTGAATCTATTCCGTGATACCTCAGAACCACCTGAAGTACCTCCATATGTCTTCGACCATCTGAATACAGGAAAGGTGAGTTAATTTGAATGTAAATATTCAACTTCTACACGTTTTTTTTGTTGAGTCATATAAATCGGAATAAATAGTACTAATAGTAGTGCCAATTGTAACGACAGAAGACAAGGGTCAGGCAATAGATCGTTTATTGAGAAAATCAACAGATATTTATATATTTTTATGTACATTATTATTCGTTATTATTAGCCGAGAAACAGCGTCTTCTGATTGGTTGTTTTCTCTCTGAAAGTTAATCTGTCATCTCTTTGTGGCCATTTCTTTGAAGGTCAGACCATATATCATCTGCGAATCGTATCCGCCCACACAAAGTCTTTGTTCTTGTTGTTTCCTCATGACCAAGATTTGGGACGTAAACATTGACGTAAATTCAAATGAACTGTCATCAAGATTTTACAGAAAAGTTCTAAAATATTTGGGCGCCGAGTGAGAAGTAAACATTGATAAAAAATTATATTTGTAAAATCTCAGCGAGATTGAAATGATTAATTCCAACGTTTCGTTCGGCAATCTGGTCCGAACTTGACGTAAATTGCTGTCTACTAATTTTGGCTAGCAGACAGCTCTCACCACAAATAAACATCAAACCTACTTTTGGAAGTTCTGTAACCTAAACTAATTCTAGCATCCGAAAATGAGGCGTTCAGTGTTCCCTAGTGTACTACTTCAGTTGCGTGTTAAAGTGTACACATATAAAAGTGGGAATGAATTCAAATCATTAGAAAGAAGAAAACACGAAGTTCAGCAAAGATATCTTTTCGGCGATTTCATTTTCAAAAGTTGTACAATCGCATTTAAATACATAATTTTACATGGATACAATTCTTGTCTGTTTCTACGTGATTACGACGTCGAATAAAAGGTGATAATTATGTCCAACTAGATATGGTTTTTACGAGAGGCTTAGAAACAGAATTACACAGGATTAAAACGGGTATCAAGTGTGTAAAGATGAGCATGGAAACAAAATTGAAATAATAATTTTCACCTTGAGATGGGAGTTGGGAGGTGCGAATATAGATTACAGGAGCCTTAGAAATTATACAGGGTTACAACGAATTACAGGTGGATCGAATGAAGACTGAGGGAGCAAGAATCACTTACAGCGAACGAAAAAAGAAAGAAGAGAACGACAGAAGAAAAAGAATAAAAAAGTAAGCTAAGGGAACATACGGAACTATGTCCATGGCAGTTGTAGAGGCTGGACTAATTTCTTTTGAACACACAGCTCCGGCTTCTCGATGCATATTGCAAGGGCTTCTGCAGTACAGAGAAGTCAGAAACATACTGGTTTCGGTAGGTTTCTGTTAACTTTGTAAATTACTTTGAAAGAATCAGTTGAGATGTTGTGGGAGGTGTTGATCAGATGTTCAATAATGGCACTTCTGATTGAACCGGTGCCTCCTCTTTGCAGCCATGCTGGGTAATGTTCTCTAACACGTTTTGAAAGGAGGCGAAAACAACGACCTCTCAATTTGTATTGCTGTTGCAGAGTGTTTCATCAGTTAATTATGAACAAATTTAAATAAAAATAGTATGTACTAACCACTCTAACGACCAAAACCGAGGTGTTATCGTCTGAAATTAGGGGGGGGGCAATCTTTGGGTTCTATTGTATAGCTAACCACAACTTCCTTGACTTACGCATAGGAAAAAATGTCCCGACGATAGTAAAGAGACAGTTATTTGGTGATAAAATCTGCGGTTCTATCTAGCAATCACAATACATGAAAATCACAAAATTACCTCAATGGTGCCACCAGGCAGCTATTATTTCTCATATAGAAAACATTTACTGCATAAGATAATTACTACATTGGGATTAAAGATTAAACAGGAACAAAAACGAATATTATGGATGAAGTCAATATGTCATATGTGAGTGTCAGAACAATGATATACAGTCTGGGAGAAAGAGAGATTATAGTTACTCAATCAGTTGAAATATCCAGCTGAGTTCCAGTATTGTCACTGCCTGGCGGCGCCGTTTGGGTTATTTTGTGTTTCAATGTATTATGATTGCTGAATAGAACGACAGATTTTATTGCCAAATAGCTGTCGCTTTACT